TTTAGTTGTACGATAAATGCATTGATATCAGCTCCTCTGTAAGTCTGCGGTCATGACATAGGTATCCAGCATTTCGCATTAAAAGTTTWTGTGCGGCTTGTTATGACCTGGAGGCCGAATTAAGAGACATCAAAGAATCCTCCATGAATGCTTTATAAGCGATTCTTTGATGTCTCCGYCTCAAGGCAGCGCATATTAGGACAATGGGTGGTATATGGATCGAAATTAAAAATAAATAAATAACTAGTATCCGAAGAGTTGCAATCGTGCTCAACTGGTGGAGCCGTATAGTAGAAAATTTATGAAAATTGTCATAACATTCAAATCAACACTAGGTACTCTGAACAAAAGAAACGAAATAGTGAATAGTGAATGCCGTCATGCAAATAAGTACCTATTTAAGAACTACAAACCATTAGACAGTCATACCTGAAGAGAGAGGACACTTGTCTTTTCGAAAMAAGCTTGTAGCATATGTAGTATACAATTTTCATAAATTTTCTACCAAATTAAATATATATATTAATTTGGATTCAACTATTCTGCTTTTCCATCTCGAAAAAAAATGTGTTGACGCATAATAATTATGTCCTTTGGACATAAAGCTACTGTTACATAAAGTTCAGTAAAAAAATATAGATTTTTTATTCAAGTAAATCCAATGCTGACTGTAAAAGAATATGTTCCATATGTATTAAAGGTGTGATATTCGCAGCGAAATAATATTTTATAAGTGATGAGTGATTCTTTAAGGAATGAAAAACAGTTTTCCGTGTATTATACTCTGATAAAAACACGCGGGATGTGGGGAGAACACGAGATAAGCGGAKTGGTTTCCAGCTTCTCGAGTGTTCTCTCCACATCCCAAGTGTTTTTATCAGAGTATAATACACGGACAACTGTGTTTTATTGCTTTTATAAAATAACAAGCGCTCAAATATTCATGAGAAAAAAAAAAAGCCGAGAAAAAAAATGTCGCGAGCGTGTATTATGCTCTCATCAAACACGACTTTTTGGCCAATCAGAGCGCGCGTAATATGAAAGTTGGTTTATAAGTATAAATGTACCACGCAAACAATTCGCTCACCAACATAGTTTGCTTCAAAGCTCAGTTGGAAGAGCACTGCACCGACATCGCAGAGGTCACGAGTGCGATTCCCGCTGAAGCCGCGTGACACTTTATTTCACTGCGACGATAACACATTATACATTAATTCACCACAGTTCAAACCACCATCTCAGCATGTTTTTCTTTCTATACGAATGATTAACATGCGATAACAATGGGAGGTAGATTTTGAAAGTAGTAACAGTCTAGACTTCACTAAAAATGTATTTCATTAAAACAATTTCCTTCCCATATACATATAGAAATAGTTTTTGAYTAGGTTTGACGACCTTTGAGAGAATACTTTTGACAGATTTTATAATCACTTGCAGTCTCTTGAACTTTGATAAATATCTAGATTGTATGACAAGATGACATAATCGGCTAACGCGTTGCCATGTACGTTACCACCCAACTCAAATCCTGTGAGAAAAAGAAGTTTCAACCGTGAAATGAAAATACAACGACAATGAAACTTACTCCCGAATGGTTTGAATTGGGTTGAAACGTTTATAGCAACGCGTTAGCCCATTAGGTCTATTGACTGATACCTTATTTGTGCTACATAACTTTCGAGAGTCTTTAATTTCGCGACTTTGAAAAAAAAAACGCAAAAAAGTCCCACCAAAAAACGCCTTAAATAGCGCCTATATATTTTAAAGCCCTTATTTCGCGAAAACTAGTACGAATAAGTTAATATATTCTTCCTCAGCTTTTTTTTAACCAAACTGACTATTTTCTATCCGATCGTACTAAACATTTTACCTTGGTTTTACCTTGACTCTAGGCTCGATGTTGACAAGTTAGCGTGGGTCTCTTCCCGAAATTCCACGTTTTTGGAATGAATTTCCTCAATTTGGTCTTCTTGTTGTTATATGGCGTTCTGAAACGATCGAAATACTAGCTAAAAGATAAAGTACTCTCAAAGTCTCTTGGCACAATATTTGAGCTCCGTCGATGTTTTGACATTTTTGGGAAAATCTCACCACGCTTTCCGGAAATGTGTGATCGAACTCTCTGAATCAGCTTCTAATCACAACGTGAAATAAAATAACACTAGTCACAAATCGGGAGGYGGGCGACGCGTACTGCTTCCGCAAAGCACTGAGGAGTTCAATTATGAATTTAATTCACTTGTTGGCGATCGCAACTCAATACACAACTCTTCAGCTTAGAAATTAACGCTTAATACTTAAGTGTCTATGACATACTTCACATAAAAAGAATGTACATGTGCTTAATTTAATAAACGATGACCTGAAATATTCAAAATATATAACTTGAATTGTAATGGGGTAATGTGTCGCAGTTTGACTCCAACTGACCATGCTGTTACCTTATTTTTGTCATGCATTAATAGATATCATAGTAAGGGAGTCAAGCTTAAGAAGGCGAGAGATAATCTTTATTCAAGTTTTAGTTTGCAACTAAAACAAAACTAGTAACGAAAGCTTGTTMAATTCATGCAAAATACACGGTGCAGATATTTATTTGCTTGCGAATATAAGAAAGCGGTTTCCATTTCTGACTAGGATACCATCACGTCCGATCAGAGACACTATGTTTCTGATTGATTTAATCTCGTACACTTTCTACAAATGCACGTGTTAGTACTTGACACTGGCTGTAGGACAGCTAGAGACATTTTATGATGTTTCCAGAGTTTCCCTAGTTCGTTAACCAGTGACTTGAATATTGAAATATGGGAGAAACGTAGACAAATTCAAGCTTCAAGATCAAGCGTTTAGACTAAAGGGCTAAAAAGAATCCTAAAGGTCTTATTTGCGCACTTTTTGAAATAATACACAATGTAGTTGAAGTCAAAATGTTCTTTGTTTTGCTACTCTCATAATATTTCAGTGGCAACAAGCRAGAACTTAAAAAACCTTTGGTAAATGGTCACGTGAATGGTCACTTCATGAGGGCTGTACGCATTTTCGCGACAGGGCCTTACAAACCCGTATCTTCCCGGCTTGAAGTTTTCATCAAAGAAATGGCTTAAAACAACGCTGTCATACAAGAAAATGCTTATTGGCTGAGTTAGGTCGGGCCRTACGGGAAAATATTTGGCTCTCGGTCATTTGTATGCCATAACCTCGAACCAAATGTTTTCCCGTACGGCCCTCCCACTCAGTCAAAAAGTACATAATATTAGAAATACTTTTTTAAATATATAACAAGCATTTCTAAATACGACAATTCCTGGTTTAATTGTCCTTATCACGGTTTTTGGCCAATAGCCAAAGTCTCGCAAAATAGCAAGGATAACGTGTGAAGTCGATGCCAAGAATCATGAATTGTAAAAGCCAAGCACTAAAAAAGGAGTATGCTGTCCATTTTTAAAGGAAATAGTTGTAGGGAGAGAGTAAAATTATAGCTAAGAAAAAATGGTATACCATCAAGTCGATTTTCCATGGACCGACACAGGGTTCCCGCGCGTACGCACGTTTCCTTCCGTCCGTCCTGGAGTGCGTGTACCACCACAGGAAACCCATACTCTGCTCGAAAAGGAAAAAACCGGCAAATATTTGTTGAAAAATCGAATTTTTTTCCTTACACATTTATATGCTATATTGATAATATTAGAAGAATTATTCACAAGCAAAAAATCCACAGAAGAGCGAAATAACAGCACAGAAATATTCCCGCCAATTTTGTSATAACKTCGACGCGTCCGCACATCCGGGAAATCGATTTGCGAAGATGAAAGGCAATTTATTTCGAGCGCATTTAGGCCCATCTTAAAAGTGATATAAGAAAAAAGGATTTTACTTTGATATTCCGACAACAAGAAGGAGATGATACTTTATTGGAAATACTTCAATAATATGGACCAATATGGGAAAAAGCAGGGATCTATGGGAAGTTCTTTTGTCGACTAAAAGTGTGGACATTTTGAAACCAAGACCATGCTAGCAGTTAGATTGAGAGAGATTAAAAACAAAGAATCGACAGTCTTGAATGACTTAATAAATTGATGAAACCTATGCTTGAAACAAGTATGGTTCTGTTGAAGATGACCTTTGAACGATAATTTTTGGGAAGTTCGATAATGAAGGTAAAAAAATATATTTTTGTATACAGTTTTCTGTGATATGTGAAGTTCGAGTAGTCCGGGTTCAAACATCGATTATTGAAACAATGTTAATTATTGTAAAGTTATGTAAATTATTTTTTGCCGAGAAGCTTTCAGTTTACTTTAAATCAATTGACCTTTACAGATTATAATATTAAACTTCATCCAACGGAACAAAATCTACCGAAGTCAACATTAGTACGCACTAAATTCTCATAAACATACTCTTTCTTAAGCTAAAATTAATAAATATRTTTRTARTATTTGTTYGCATGTCAACAAAACTGTTGTAACTTACATTCCTTAGAACAGAGCATCTGTACCTTTTAAATAGCAGTACTAAATAATCATTTTCAACTTCTATATTGCTATTGGAGCTCCGCTATTAGGTGTTACCTAATTTTTATATTTTTAAATCATCTTTCTATACATTTATCTGTATTTCACGCGCCGATGACCCCCCCCCCCCGAATTTACAAAGAAATGTATGGGAAAATAAAAATTAGTTTACTCGCTCCCTTGATCGACTACGGCGTTCACAAATGGACARTTAACTCCTTTTTGCGATATTGTACGTTTGAAATCAATAATTCTTTCAGAATTTTTATTTAAGGAGAATTATATTTGACATTGATTTCCCACTGTATGCTTGTTATTTTTTCGAGACTTTTGCCTTTTCGCCAAGATAAGGCATATATATAATAAGGCATATTAGCCGATTTCTGAAATTTGACTATTAAATGTGTTAGACACAAAGGGAAACAATGTATTGTACAATAAGATCCTATTTAAATAATATAGTAGTTTAATCGCGAAAATTAAATAATAGAGTAGTTGTGTCGAGAATATTACGTTGCAATAGTTGCCCGCGGTAACAGGATGTTCCTCGATTTAACTTCTCTATTATTTAATTAGTGWAACATCGGTCTTTTGACTTCATTCTAACATCCTTTATCCCATCCTTTATTTACTCTCAGCTGCCATTTGCTATCCAATATGTGTCAATAATAACTCTCATCCCTATTGAACATAAGACCCTGCACAGTTTTCCTCGGAATGCTCTTACGTTAAAAATTTACAATCCCGGGGAAAACTGGGTATTCGAATTTTTTTACTTCGCATTTCTTGAAAATTAAAAGACAATATTTGCCAACATTTGCCACTTGCCAGCTTTGACAGCTGGCGGAACCAGGGTCTGGTTTGAATATGCCTTTTTGCCCGCAAGGGTCTGGTAAAAATCAGTGGGAGTTTTTCCAGGCTGGATCTGGTAAATTGGGTGTTTTATATGAAACAAATATTGAGAAAATAGAGAAAATTCTTAGAATATACGGTAAGTGATCAAATAGTTTAGATGCGATACATATAGAGCTTATCAAATTTTATGCCTGGTTCCAAATCCTATTTGGTCAATTCAGATGCGACATTCCTTCATACAATCCTCATTCTTTATTTTCGTACATCTTCTGTAGAACCTCCATGTTGTCGAGGATTTCAAATGGACAATCAAATGTGAAAATGTATTGAAACCTGTAAAAAGGAAATATTGAACCAACATTTAATTGACAAAGTTTATTATTAAATTACAACGTTTTTTGGCCAACATCTAAATCACGTAAGTATGCATATAGATATACACCCACCGGTGAAAAAAAAACTTGCAATAAAGTTCAAAGATAGCATGTTTAAAGAAAAAGACGTAAAGCTTATAGAGCGGATTTCGTATGAGTGGGACACCGTTACCGCACGGTTACCGACAGTTACCGGACCTGGCCTGCAAAATTTTGGTGAACCAATGGGGCACTAGAATTTGGTTACAGTACGATTGACGGTCACAGTACAGTACCGTCCGTTTCCCACTCATACGAAATCCGCTCTATCAATACACTAATCAAACACAGACTTACTCATCAGAAGAAACACTGCATTCCACGTTGGTGTTCTTATCCGTTCTGATGACTATAAACGGAAGATTAACAATGCCTTGTTGCTGATCCTTTACGAGATTGCGTTTCATGTGAAGTAATCTCTTGAAGGAAATGTACTGTAAAACAAATAAAATTAATAACAATTAGTTTTTAAGGTTTTTGCGATATTTCTTTGGCTTAAGATCTCAAATAAAATTGAAACATCATATTTGCATTACAGTGACAGAAAATAAAGACCCCCTCCCCACCCCCCAAGAAAACAAAAACAAAAATAAAAACAGCAACAACCAGCTAAATGTATACTAGAAAAGCAAAATTATTTAAAAAATATATCGGATTTTGCTCTCCGAAACCCTGGGACTCTTCAACAATAGCTTTTACTTCAATAGCCTTCCTAACTGGGTGATTGATTTGCGACCAGGCCTGCATATGAACTCGCCAAGGTTGTAAGCCAGTGAGCCCGTGCATTTTTGTTAAGCGGTCATATTTGAAAGTGTAAATAAAGGAAAGGGAAAACCCGCAGCTCTCCTTTCACTCAGATAAACAGTACAAGTAGTGTTAAATTTATTTACAAAACTAAACAAAATGATTATAGAATTAAACCTTTAAGAATTGAATGCGAGTCATATCAAACATTTTCCACCTTAAATACACACGTGCTTTTCAGAAGGGAATTTAGTCGAACTTTTTTCACGATGGAATTTTGTTTTGAGTCGTTTCAACATAAACAGTCGCTATCAAGACATTACACGAAAAACCCTAGTCACCGTTCTAGCTCTCGTTGTAAGGTCAAAGCTAGTAAATGTGTAACCGRCCTGTTACATAACGTCAACCTGTTGTATCGTCGAGCACGCTTGCGGCTTATTGCCAAAAATGCGACAAAGGATGAACTACGACAGTTGTCACTACCAAAAATAACAAACACTTTAACTCTATTGGAATACGTGGAGCTAAGCTGCTCTAGCTCTTTCAGTGATGTTATCGGATACCTCAAAGCTTAGAGGAAGCAAGAGCTAAGAAAAAGGATTTGCAATGGTTCCTCCTAAGATACTTTGGACTTGAACGTCGCTTCAACGACCTTCTGAAGTCTTCGTGAAGTCGTCCATTGCTTCGCATGCAATGGAGAACCCGCGTAGAACACAGACCAATTATTTTTATCAGGGAGGGGAGTCTCTTGGTATTAAAGAAAAAATTATTTGTTATTTCATTTTTAAGATAAAATTCTATTTCTATAACGATAAATATTTGATTGACATTTAATAAAAGCTATTTTATAAAGATTTGCAATTTCTCTTTGCGTTTTAGCTTTGATTTTTCGGATAGAATAAAATGGCAGGCAGCCTACTCCACTGGGTCGAGTTTTGCTGTGCAAATTCCTCCCGTCGGGGGGTTATGTTTACAACATAAGCTTGTCAGCTTTGTGCTGATTGGCTAGTCGCATTTTCTCAAATCACCCAGAAGAATAATCAAAACCACAGCATACAATACATTTAAAGCCATGATGTTTACACAAGTTGCATATTTTTTTCAGAACGATAGATGTTTCACATAACAAAATGCGCCAAATTTCATAAGCTATTTGAATTTGGCGGTAGGTTTTTCATTAACTAAATAAGTTATGCACGAGGCATAGTTTTTTGAAGCGAGCCGTGTTCAAAACATGAATCGCCAGTCTATTTTGATGCTCAACTCCAACTCTTCAAAGGCGAAAGTATACACTTGAATGTTCAAATTTTCTCACGAAGAATACACAGAAAGGTCACACATATATTGTATTTCTTAAATTAGATGGTAGGTTTTTAGGATTGTCTTTAATATCATTGCATTTCTTCAAAAAGTCTGGAAATCTGGTATCTTTTCGTCGAATTTGACACTTCGTACGGACTGTCAATTACACTTGAGTAATCACGGACTTTTTGTCACCCTTTGGTTTGATATGTTTTTCTAATATTATCAATTTGGAAGATAAGTGTTTGAGAGAAAAATCTCGATGTTTCAACAAATATTTTGGCGCTTTTGAAATATGCTATAAAGGAGACTTTAGAACAAATAAATATTTACAATTTAAGAAAATAGCATCAGCAGAAAAAAATTAGACAAACAAAAAAGAATAAGCCATGCAGTGCGGRAATATARATAGCTTAGTAAAAATCTCCCCTGACCCTCACTATCTTTTGAATTTCAAGACATATTCACCTGGCTAATCAGCGTTTCCAAGTTTTTCATCTTTTCTTGGATGCATTTCTCAAGCTTTTGTTTCTCGTCCTAGAGTGAAGTGCATAACGAAAATTTTATTYATTATTCCATTTCAGACATGTGTGTTTTAAAAATAGCACGCCAAACGAAAGGAGAAGGACACGGAAACAAGGCTTTTTCTAATACTCCGATTTCGAGTTCTGGTTTGCTCTGTGTTAGCCTCAAAACCAAGTAACATATTCTTTTGTTTTATTGATAGCCCGAGAAAACGCATTGAATTCGAAAAGAAAGACAATAGAATTGATTTGAAATCTCACACTTTTATTCTCATAATTAGGAATATTTTGCGCACAAATGAGGCTAACACAGAGCATTGGAGAATTCGAAACTGGATTATTATGTGACTCATTTTCTTCCTGACTGATGACGAAATGACAATGCAATCCGACTGAAGTGTCATATCATAACTGAATAGTTGTTTTCGACACAACACAACACAACACAACACAACACAACACAACACAACACAACACAACACAACACAACACAACACAACACAACACAACACAACACAAGGCAATTGCAATGCAATGTATTGAAATACTCATTTCTCTTTGAGAAATATTAAGTTGGCACTCTACTAGAGTAAGCAATTCGACTAGTTAAAATGCTAATCTACCGTAAGCGTCTTTTTCTCGGCTTCTTCTTCTTCTTTATCGTAGTTTGGGTAGCCAATCCATTTGACGATATTTCTACCTTTCAATATCATCCCAATTGCTTCAAAACTATTTAGCACATCACCAAGTCTTCTATTGATGTTTTTTCTGTTAGGAGAAATCTGAAAAATAAAATCAGAGAGCTCAAATTAACACCATTAAAAACAAATAGTTAAAAGTACTAAAAAAAAAACGTTTTCAAGAAAAACTAACCGTTTTTCGGTGAACATGGACTTTTAATATGCGCTTTAGTATATAGTATATGTTTTAGAATGGAAAGAGCAAAGATTTCGTCTGTTGCAAGTAAACCAAAGTATAAGTTTTAAGTTACCTCCTGAACGTGATCACCATCTCTATGAAGTTCCTTGAATACCGTATCAAAGATCTTAAAAAGAACAATAAATGTAATTTCAATAAAAAAGTCGTCTAAAAATTAAAAACAATCTATTGAGTAAACAATCTAAGCAATCTATTGAGTAAAAAATATATTATACTTTATTATCATTTCAAAATAAATATGATAAAGCGAACTTTAATTCAGAGCAAATTAAACACCGTTCAGTCCAATTACCAAAAGATAGCGATACCTACCTTGTCAGTGCTGATTGTTTCTTTTTCTTGAAGTATTTTAAGTACTATTTTCGTATATGCATTCAGCCCAATTGAATGTGGAGATGGGTTGGTGCTTTTTCTGTATTTTGAAAAGTAAGGTCAGCAAAGATGTTTTGGCTACAATCATGGACAATATGTATTTCATTTCATTTCATTTCATTTCATTTTGGTAAAAATAATTACATGTTTGATTTTTTTTATCGATACCAAAAATTCGAGCTTTTAAAGTTAGTTTTTCCTGCCCACCATTAAGCTGAGCCAACATCGGTTGGCGGTTTTCCCAAAACGTGAAGTATATGATGTCATATGCTTAACCCAGGAACGAGGTTATTGTTAAGTCATATAAAACTAAGTGGAAATGAAGTTTTGAAGCGCATCCGGAAGACTACGAAGAAACAAAGYCAGGAGCATCAAATCAAACTTTCTCGTCTGAGGACTTTCCGAGTTCAAATGTAGCCACTGAATACATTGCAAGCTATATACTTCAGCATATAACGAATACATAACCTGCTCTTCGAAGAGATGTTATTGACACAGTCTGCTCTTCGAAGAGATGTAATTGACATCATGACGGAGCAGACGGCATATATTTCATTCCCCGAATTTTAGATGACCAGTATTATCTCCAGTCACGCTACAAACAAGATCGGCTTTGGATTTGAATTTAGATAGTTGATTAAGCTGAATACACATTTATGATCATCGGTTATTTTTATATAATGAATAATTTCTCTTGAAAGTGCTCAAGCATGAAACGGCAAACGTTTTGTCTTATGGGGCTGAGACTCGAAAGAAAGTGGTCAGCTTATAGAATACTTGCTTGATCAGTGATTCCATATTTTGTATCGCCGTTTATCTTCAAATGGTTCAGAGCAGCCACACTATAATGTCAACAAAATATGCCTGTTAGTAGGATAAAGATTTGTAAAATAGTGACAATATGCAACAACAACCAAATGGCATGCTTTTATTTGCAAACCGGACACTACATGGCGTTAGATACTAGATAACGATACAAATTGTTGTCGATAAAATTTCTGGACTCTATGTAAGAGGACCGCAGCCGGCGTGCGAGGTAACTAATAAACTTAGTTTCCAATTCACGTGGTTTTCGCAAAAACTGAATAGACTAAATAAATGTTTTCTTGTAGGTCATATTTTGAGCTCATTTTTGAGCCGCGTTCATATCTTTATTTCTGCCCGAGATTTTCCAACAAATTCATAGCCCTTATGTAGTTTTATGAGATATACAAATTCTGAAATTTTCAAGATGATCCAACTGTCAGTTTTAGAGTAAATCGTCGAAAACTGGAATTATCACTGTTTGAAAATTAAATACTGAAAACTGTCAAAAACTGCAATAATCACTGCATGTTTTATCAAAATTTTAGCACGTTTTACTAAATATTTTTGCGAAGCGAGCGAGTCAAAAAAGTACAAAATTTGCGTTTCATTAGTTGTGATCCACCTTAAGATCGCGGGTTCGATTCTCGACTCGATCACCTCTAAGGGATTCTTCTTTCTGTCCTTTCCTTTTTTTAAACTAAAATATACAAAGAGGTTATTAACCGAGTGCGAGGTCTGTACGGGAAAATTTCAGACCGAGGTCTTGACARTGCGCTCAGTCCGTACATAAAAGACCGAGGTCGGATATTTTCCCGTACAGATCGATCAAACGAGGTTATCGTTTATTATATGACTTATAGACTATGTAGAAGAATTACTCAAAGTATATAGGAAAAGTCTCACTCTTCAACTTGCAACCCGTTGGCTCCCTCTATCTGATGGCAACGCTTTTCTCAAATATCTCACGATATGAGTAAAATGCATGACAAAGAAATCATCATATTTTCAGTAATTGTCGGCTAAAAAGACGGGGATTTTGCATGGCTCCTTGTTTCATAGATTCAGTTTATTTTCATACACAAATACATTATTATTATTATTATTACAGCTTACTTACAAATTTTCAATGATTCTTCTATCGTCGCGGCCGCCGGTGCAGATTTTTTTTACTTTTTCGAAGTGGATGTCCCTCAATATAGAATTGCAATTTTCTTTCTTTTCCAGCAACCGAGGAGTTATTACATCGAGCATTTGCAAAATTACGACGACTATACACCGCGAAGTGCTTGAAAGTTCGCCTGTTTTCAGCTGAGTGTTTTGAATGAGAAAGCTAGGGATTTGAACGAGCTCACACTGATTCAAACTCTTCTTGTGTTTTCGGTACCTACATSTTAAAAAAATCAACGAAGTCGGGATGTCTCTCAATATAGAATTACAATTTTCTTTCTTTTCCAGCAACCGAGGAGTCATTGAATCGAGCAAAGTAGACTTTATAAGAAGAGGATTTCATTATTGCCAAGACACCGGTTTCAATCCCTTTGGCTTTTCACTTTTGTTTCGAGTAGTTTGTGGACTTATGTGCAGGCTTCGTTTGAGCTTTTAAAACTTGACATTGAGTTTTTCTTCCATAATACAATCCATTTTGGGCTATCTTTGAATTGCGTATTATTTTCTCCCTGGGTATTGTTACTAGAATAAGGTATGGGGATCACTCTGGCCTGGGACAAGCCTTGCCAGAGCGGACGACCAAAGCCGTCAGGGTTAGAGCCGTCTTCATCGTGAGGGTTGGTTCGCTACACGTCTCTGACAACGAGTGGAGCAAGTGTCGGGGAATTAATAACTTCCCTTTATATATCCTATTATCAATCCCCTGGGACAAAATTATCATATTCAAATGACTATGAATAGTGNGACCAGTATTATCTCCAGTCACGCTACAAACAAGATCGGCTTTGGATTTGAATTTAGATAGTTGATTAAGCTGAATACACATTTATGATCATCGGTTATTTTTATATAATGAATAATTTCTCTTGAAAGTGCTCAAGCATGAAACGGCAAACGTTTTGTCTTATGGGGCTGAGACTCGAAAGAAAGTGGTCAGCTTATAGAATACTTGCTTGATCAGTGATTCCATATTTTGTATCGCCGTTTATCTTCAAATGGTTCAGAGCAGCCACACTATAATGTCAACAAAATATGCCTGTTAGTAGGATAAAGATTTGTAAAATAGTGACAATATGCAACAACAACCAAATGGCATGCTTTTATTTGCAAACCGGACACTACATGGCGTTAGATACTAGATAACGATACAAATTGTTGTCGATAAAATTTCTGGACTCTATGTAAGAGGACCGCAGCCGGCGTGCGAGGTAACTAATAAACTTAGTTTCCAATTCACGTGGTTTTCGCAAAAACTGAATAGACTAAATAAATGTTTTCTTGTAGGTCATATTTTGAGCTCATTTTTGAGCCGCGTTCATATCTTTATTTCTGCCCGAGATTTTCCAACAAATTCATAGCCCTTATGTAGTTTTATGAGATATACAAATTCTGAAATTTTCAAGATGATCCAACTGTCAGTTTTAGAGTAAATCGTCGAAAACTGGAATTATCACTGTTTGAAAATTAAATACTGAAAACTGTCAAAAACTGCAATAATCACTGCATGTTTTATCAAAATTTTAGCACGTTTTACTAAATATTTTTGCGAAGCGAGCGAGTCAAAAAAGTACAAAATTTGCGTTTCATTAGTTGTGATCCACCTTAAGATCGCGGGTTCGATTCTCGACTCGATCACCTCTAAGGGATTCTTCTTTCTGTCCTTTCCTTTTTTTAAACTAAAATATACAAAGAGGTTATTAACCGAGTGCGAGGTCTGTACGGGAAAATTTCAGACCGAGGTCTTGACARTGCGCTCAGTCCGTACATAAAAGACCGAGGTCGGATATTTTCCCGTACAGATCGATCAAACGAGGTTATCGTTTATTATATGACTTATAGACTATGTAGAAGAATTACTCAAAGTATATAGGAAAAGTCTCACTCTTCAACTTGCAACCCGTTGGCTCCCTCTATCTGATGGCAACGCTTTTCTCAAATATCTCACGATATGAGTAAAATGCATGACAAAGAAATCATCATATTTTCAGTAATTGTCGGCTAAAAAGACGGGGATTTTGCATGGCTCCTTGTTTCATAGATTCAGTTTATTTTCATACACAAATACATTATTATTATTATTATTACAGCTTACTTACAAATTTTCAATGATTCTTCTATCGTCGCGGCCGCCGGTGCAGATTTTTTTTACTTTTTCGAAGTGGATGTCCCTCAATATAGAATTGCAATTTTCTTTCTTTTCCAGCAACCGAGGAGTTATTACATCGAGCATTTGCAAAATTACGACGACTATACACCGCGAAGTGCTTGAAAGTTCGCCTGTTTTCAGCTGAGTGTTTTGAATGAGAAAGCTAGGGATTTGAACGAGCTCACACTGATTCAAACTCTTCTTGTGTTTTCGGTACCTACATSTTAAAAAAATCAACGAAGTCGGGATGTCTCTCAATATAGAATTACAATTTTCTTTCTTTTCCAGCAACCGAGGAGTCATTGAATCGAGCAAAGTAGACTTTATAAGAAGAGGATTTCATTATTGCCAAGACACCGGTTTCAATCCCTTTGGCTTTTCACTTTTGTTTCGAGTAGTTTGTGGACTTATGTGCAGGCTTCGTTTGAGCTTTTAAAACTTGACATTGGGTTTTTCTTCCATAATACAATCCATTTTGGGCTATCTTTGAATTGCGTATTATTTTCTCCCTGGGTATTGTTACTAGAATAAGGTATGGGGATCACTCTGGCCTGGGACAAGCCTTGCCAGAGCGGACGACCAAAGCCGTCAGGGTTAGAGCCGTCTTCATCGTGAGGGTTGGTTCGCTACACGTCTCTTGACACGAGTGGAGCAAGTGTCGGGGAATTAATAACTTCCCTTTATATATCCTATTATCAATCCCCTGGGACAAAATTATCATATTCAAATGACTATGAATAGTGGTGAATGCTTTTCGAGCATTTCTAAGCTGGATTGATGCTGTTGGCATTGGAAACAACTGTACGGTCAACTCGGAAAAGAGCGGGAAAGTCAAGTGCTAAGACGCGAGCGCGGAAAAAAAGGCGGGAGTAGTTGAAATTGAACCATCTTTCTTTCAGATCATTAAAAGATGGATTTTGTTTGAATTTTTTTATTGCAAAGAAAAGGTYGCAAATCTTATAAACAAAGATGTATCGATTCCACCGGTCGAACTTACGGAAAATATGGAAGTTGGACCGATACCATAGCAACGGTCCAATACGGCTTTGGACGGATCGCACGTCAGCCAATCAGAATTCAGAAAATCTACAAGCCATATAATAATTATTCGTATTTTTCTATAGATATTTGTTTACATATTTTACACGCAGAATCATACTGGAATAGCGGCGTTGAACTGACGTTCTCGGGTTCGGTTCTCGACTCGAGCAGTTCTTAACAAGTTTTGTTTCTTTAACTTTTAAATATACTCGTTCTTTTTTTCTTTCTAAAACGCAAAGTAAACTTTCATCTTATAAATTCTATGAGGA